ATATCTCGCTCACTTTTTCAAACAATCTAAAAAACAACATATTTCAGATTACGCTTCTTCAGTCCGGCAACGATCCACGTTCGAAGAAGTCTAATTTAAACTTCACTTGAAGTTCACACGTGAAAATTGATGCGTACCTTAAACAAGATCGTAAATTTACACGAGCGTGGGTTAAACCGGTCTGTGTAACGTAATCAAAGACAATTGTACAACGAATTTTCTAAAAGAAAAGTCTGTTCACGGTGAGAAGAGATTCTTTGGAAATCGTGTGGCAATTGCTTCGTTGAAACGTGCGCGTTCAGAAACAAAGCGGTCCCTTTCGTTTGCTTTTCGAGGTTTTCTGTTTAATTTAACAATCAAAGGTGTAAATGAACACTGTAATTTCGTTGCTGCTCCGAGGTCTTTCGGAACTTTGGCCCGTATGTAACGAAAACCATAAATTGCTCGATGCCAGTGCCTAACAGAAGGCGCGTGGCGCAATCGAAAGGCAAATTTGAAAGACCTTGTGAAAAAGCCTATTGCATTAGGATCGTGTTGAAAGAGGGTAAAGTAGTTAAAGCCTGGATTTTCCTGTCGACAGAGTAACACAAATATTTAATATCGCTATCGATTCCAGAAATACAATGTACAATATCAAACTTCAAAATAAAAAAAAAGAACAGCAGATTCATTTTAAACTCTTCTACTCGTACTTAAGTATATTTTCATTCAATATGCACCGAAAAAAAAAATAAAAATACTTTTTGGCGCGATTGTTAAAATAGCGACCTTAAAATAACGCAGTTAGAGTGAAATTTGCGATGTTTCACCGAGAAAATGTATTTGCTCTCTTCTCGTCTCACGTGAAATTTCCTCCGTGTGTTCGATAGATCTTCGAACATCGTAAAAGTAATGATCGATCGGTACCGGGTGATTTCGTAAAGTACGCAGTGGTGCCCTTATTAAACTAATGGGACTTGAGTTTCGAAACCGTGTCAGGTTTCGACACGCGAGATGAACGGCCGGACGAACAAAGTTTCAAAAGTAGCCAAGATTTCGTGTGCTCCCTTATCGACCCGTTTTGTAAAGGCCCGTTTATATGTCAACTATCGTGTCGTTCTTCGCGTAGTCAAAGTGAAACACGTCTTAACCCTTTGTACTCCCAGCATTTTTTCGATAAGATCAGTCGATAACTTCGGTATCCTTTTGCAGTGAAATTTTTAAAGAAAAAAAAAAAAGAAAACATTTTTAACGTTTACGAATTTATTTATTTCTATTTCTTATGATGGAAGTTCACATTTTAAAGTTCTCCAAAGTATGTAATTACGCATGTCGCCATAACAGCGCCATTAGAGTGCAAAGGGTTAATATCTCCGAATTCTCACGAGTATGTCACCGAACTGATGCACAGTGGTTCAGAATCTGGGAATCCGAAATGTCTTTTAAAGAATCCTTACTCATTTCTATGTTGATGTCTGTTAGTTGAGGAATACTAAACATGATTATGTCTAATTTCTCTGCCTTTGGGGATTTCTGTGGTTACGGATTCAGCTTATTTTAAATAACGTTGTCTTTAAGGAAGCATTTTCTTCACAGCATTATTATCCCAAAAATTCCGATTGCATTTCTTATTCTGTTTGCCAAGACTCTTCACAAGAAGGTAAGTCATATTTCATATATTATATTGAACTACATGGGAACGAAAAGAAACATTCAATTACTACATACAAATGTTTGGATAAAAATTACTTTGTCGTCTGAAAAGATCTGACTTTCGTTTTGAAATTAGCCGCTACTATTTGCTACACAATTTTTCACGAATCTTCGAGTCACAAAAATTCCAGTCTAATATTTTCTTCTAAAAAAGAAACATAAAATATAAAATCTGAATATCGTTAAACAAATGATAAAAGTGAAAATCAAATTGTTCTTTCACTTTCTCGAGTCGTTTATCGAAATACACAGAATGCTGAATTCTTGAAACGATACGAATCAACTTTTCGCAAAGTTCGTTGCTTCGTAACGTATCTCAGTACCTTCCGGCAGAAACAACGTGAAACGTCGAGTGCAACACAATTCAGGGACTTGCAAAAGAATTAATATACGTTCGAAACTGTGCGTGAAGTCAGTTTCATGTCACTTCTTACAAACCGAAACAAAAAAGTAAGAGAAAGAAAAATGTCACCGTTGTTGCGCAAAACGTATCAACTTCTACTTTAATACGTTTAATTCAGCTGTCGCGACGAGAAAAAAGATACGCGATCGTCACTCCCAGACCGAGTTCGAACTTCTTTGCAGGACATCATCCATCAATCAAACGGAATTTCTGGAATATTTATGTTTTCAAATTGAATCTCGCATCTTTGGCGGACACGTTATTTTTTCGCCAGCTAGCAACGAAGATAAGCGTGTCTCGACTTTGTTTCCTCGTTGGTGCTTGATCGATCAACCGGCGAGTTTGATGGCAATTAGTCTAATTAACCGTTGGAAAGAAAAACCCACCGTTGCTCCGGTATCCCGTATAGCCGGATGCAATTGCACGGAGCCTTGAACGTCGACCGTGATCAGCTTAGGTTGCTGAAGATTCACGATCGAAAGTGCAATTAACCTTTTTCCCCTCGGAAACGATGGATCGTTTGAAAAAGAAATATTCCCAGCGATATTTTCGAAAACGCGTTCGAGAGTAAATCTTCTAATAAAAATCTTACTTATAAATTACTAACACAGATTAGAGATTAATTATGGAACAAAATAGTACTTTGTCGTTACGTGAAACGTAATTCTGTTAAAACAAAAAACACCTTCATTTGTGTCGGTAATTATGAAAATGGCCTAAATCGTATATTTCTCGTTTCGAGATATTTAGAATTTTTCCTTTGGACGTATTAAAAACTATTTGTTCCTTATGTAGTAAAATATTTGATAAAACACTTGCTCTTGTAAGATAAATCTTTTCTACGAAAAGATCGACGTGTGACGCAAAGCAAGTGATAAATTCAATTTTTCTTCGATTTCTCACTTAGACCGTTTTCGTAATCCTTTAACCAGCTATTCAACAAATTGTCAAATTCTCCTTTATTTCCGCGTGTATTGTTGCAATACGTTTCATCAATGGTCAGATATATCAACGATTCCCGGAATCGTTACGTTTCCCCATTCGCCGAACAAAAAAAGAGAAGCTCGTTTTGCAATATCTGAGAGGTATTGTTGCAGAGGGGAATTTATCGCGAACGGGATTAACGGACTTGGAACGACAAACGGGACGAATATAAATTGTCCAAATGAGCTGGATGGTAAAAATGGGCATAATCCTAAAGGAAACGCGAATGTATGCGCGTTAGCAAAGTGGCCGGGTTCGAGGGATCCGGATATTTGTATTGTCTGCTCGCCGCGGATATCCGTATTAACCGGTCAATGCTAACGTGCAATTATCTAGCACAATGGCAGATATTGTGCGTGTTATTGAGAATATGCTTCATGCGCGTCCACATGATTCGCTCCTTGAGAAGGGACTTGGATGAAGGAACTCTCTCTCTCTCTTGTATTCATACTTTGTCCACAACCCATTCAGTATTAAGATTGAGGAGGAATTTGCATACAGTGCAATTGGCGAAGCAGTTTAGTAATAAGTAGAGGAGATCTGGCTTGGAATTGCAGTTGATTCGTTGATTCAAATTCGATCGTCGTATCCCATCTTTTTTAGGTTAGGTCGTTCAAAGTGGAACGACATTTCAGCCACTCGGAAGCCAGTGTGGTTAACTTTCTAAAATAAAATTTATGAAAAATTAAGCGTGTGCTTTGGATACCAAAAATTGGAGGAATATTGAAAACTGGTGTTAATCTATTCTGGCTTTTCAGTTTGTGTAAGGACAATTGTAAATTACTGGTGAATATTGGAAATAGTATTTCGTGGCAGGATTTTGCTCGGTACCGAGAAAACGGGTTGAATCAATATTGAGGTTAGATAATATCTTGGTTTTATTATGGGTACAAAATGTTGACAGTATTGGATTTCTATATTTAAAGCAGAAGTAAATAGTACACGAATAATCTGGGAACTAGCGATGATACATCACTCAAACAACGTACGTTGTCTAAATATAGTTTCTTGTATAGAGTGAATACAAACAGAATGGTACATTTTTATCAGTTTTCGTAACGCAATATTTCGCGTGAAACTTCGACACGAGTGACGAACTTCAGTCCAGTCAGCCGAAGAAGTTCGAGGGCGTTGAAGCAATTTTTAATCTAGCTTAAGAAATCTTGCAATACCCGGTGTGTATTCTCCAGACTTGGCGCCAGCTGATTTTTCCTTATTCCGGCCTCTGCAACGTGATATGCGACACGTACTTTAAACCGATCGAAGAACCGAAAAAGAAAAATGTATGAAGATTTCATTCGATCGAAACCGTAACATCTGTTCTGCGATGGGATTTAGCAGTTTGTCGAAAGATGTATAAAAATAATAGAAAATAGACACTCTTACGATTAAGTATAACTTGATCCGTAGATAAAATTTGAATTTTCCTTGTAAAAAGTACTAAATTAATTGACACATCTGATACTTCTACATCATTCTCATAGTTTCTCGGACGAAGTTGCAGATTTTCCCGCATCGTGCGAACGGCGCTCGAAAGCAAATTACAAAACAGTCGATAACGAACGCAACAGAGCGATCCTATCGAATTAAAAGATTCTCGATCGTTCACCTCAATTGACCTACCGTTAATACGGACATAACGAAGCCAACTATCCGTCAATTCTCTCTCTCTCTCTCTCTCGCTCTCTCTAACGAACGTTTCAAACAGTACTATATATGTAGGTATATCTATCATGGCCACGTATTGTATCGAGCCGATTCTAATCTAAAAGGCACAGGCGTGAAGGCATGAATTATTTGTCCTTCCTAACGTGATTATTTCCTAACCCAGCGATATTATACACAGAGCCAGCGACGATGATGACGACGGCGACGACGACGACGGAGCTGTGAGTGACGCAACGTTTTTACTGAATTTCAGGCGTTAACCGTGGGCGACAAAGGTTGCGAGGCACTACTACAGGCTCACCTTCGATTAGAAGGTACCGGAGCGACGAGCGGCGTCGCGGGCGTGGTGGAAGCACCTGGAGGTCGACGCTATCTCCTGCTAGAGGGCCACCACGGTGACCTGCACGCCTACGTAAGGGCACGCAGGAGACTGAGGGAACCGGAGGCGAGGCGGCTCTTCCGGCAGGCGGCCAGGGCCGTAGCTACCTGTCACGAATACGGGGTTGTGCTCAGAGACCTGAAGCTCAGAAAATTTGTTTTCGCCGATGAAGCAAGGTAAGGAGGAATCGAATACATCGGTCTGTTAGCTCTGACATTTTTCTTTTCTTTTCTTTTTTTTTTTTTTTTTTTTTTTTTTCTTCAATTTTTTTCTAATTAGGTGTATTATTCGACGCATTTTTATGTGAAGATTTTTATCGTTTTATTGTAAAATTGGAATTGTCAATCTTCTGTTGTTACATTCAGTAGTACAGTTCGAACTAAATCACTTCTTTGATATTGTATACAATTTTTTTACTCTTTCCTGTATATACAATGTATTGTACAAATACGACTTAGACTTGTGAACACCTTTCGGAGCTAGATAATCGTTTTAAAAGTGAATTAAGTTTGTGTAAAAATATTCGTGATAATGTTATTCGAGAATGTCAACTAAATGGGAATATTGCGATACCGGAGAAAGTAGAATTTCTAGTTACCCTTCGAATCGTGATAGCGTGAAAATAATTAAAGAAAGTTAACTCTGTGAAATAGTGTTTTTACTGAATTTTGTCGGAACATGTATTTTGAATTTTCTAAAGTATCAGATACTCTTTAATAACAAAACCTGTATAAATACCCAAACATTGATAACCCTTTATTTAAACAGTTACGATATTTCGAAATTATTTAAAAAACGAAGTTCAATTAATTCTACGATGTATAATTCTCGCTGAAATTACGACAAGAGGAAAATATTTTACGATTGCAAGATCGAGATAAATGAATACAAATGGGTTTCAACATGTACTCCTGTCCATAAGTCACCAGTCACTTGGTAGTTCTAGAGTAAGGATAAATTGTAACTACGTTATACTTACAAATAAACTTAAGAGTTATTAAGTGCTTGTATTGTGAAGGAAATTAAATTACATCGTTTTCCCAACATCTTACTTAAAAACGTGCCTTGATAAACATTTCTCTCCAAACTAACAAGTGTCCGATGACTTATAGACAAGAGTATATATTTACGATCTTCGGTAGGAATGGGGTAAGATGTTGATTTAAATGGCACAGCTGTAGGCTATCTAAGATAAAGGAAAAAGAAAAAAAAGTAGGGTGTCTCAAAGTGACAAACTAGCTGTTAATTTGACACGACTGTTAACGATACGGTGTACGCCCACATATCGTTTGTGGCATTCTTGAAGCGAGTGAGAGGGCATGCGTTGCAGAGCCATGGAAAACCAGTTCGTATTCGTTTCATTTCCATATTCGCCTGTAATTCTTTTGCACCATCGGTTACACACAGAAGGTATATCTTGGAAAAGAAGTACTTCCACGCCTACATAAATTAATTTCCCCTTCACTGCTCGATACACGCCTGGACACAATACGCAACCCTTGGACATTTAATGAATTCCGTTCTATTTTCTTGTTTTTATTCCAGCCTGATTATTTATTGCAATTGCGAATTCGACAAGTTGTTGTCACCGTTGCATTTCAAACGGTGGTTTTACTTGTGTTTCAGACGTGCAGTCCGATCTGAACACGATTGCGTTAGGTTCTTAGCACTTGATAATGTGATCTTTGAAAAAGAAAAAAAATGTTTCAATTTGTAGTGTACATTCTGCAACAGATTCCGTGCCGCATTCCAAACCATGTTTGCATTGAAAATTAGAAGCATTTGATTCGGAACTTTTTCTCCAATTAAATTCTGCTGTTCGTTTTCCTAACCTAATTTCCATCGTTTTTTACGGCTTCTAAACTGAGGATATTAATTTCATGGTGTCAGGGTATTTATTCGTAACACCTTTACGTAGATACTTCGCTCGATTTTCGTGGTACATTCTTTTACTATTGTAATACACTACCGAATCAAACTTCAGCTCACAATCGTTGGAGGATGAAGTTCGTTATATAATTGGTAAAATTTATAAACTATGAAATAAAGGAAACAGGGTGACCTAAAAAGGGAAGAAAACAGTTTGGTAGATTTGGGGAGAAACATTCTCAGCAAAAGAATATTGTATAAACGTACGTTCTATTTTCAACTACTTACACAATTACACTTAATTATCAAATAAGTATTATATCTTTTACTTAAAACTTCCTCTTAAACATTTCCTTCTAAAGCTCTCCACTCAATCAATTCTCCTTCCACCAATCATACGCCAGCATGAATCCATTTCAATCATAACCTAAGCAGTGCGTAAAGTCTCAGGTGGACAATCAGCAGATCTATTCAAACAGATATTCCTATAAAAGCGTTATTGTACGTCATTTTGTCTCCACCGTATTCACTTGAACGTGTTCAAACAATCAGCTCGGTCGTCCCATTGCACATTGTTAACCTTTCACAGTGCAATAAAGTCTGCATTGTCATGTCACACAACACCTATAAGCTCGATTCCCAACGGTTCCTCGTTTCGCGTATCGTGGTTAACTCGAAGTCTCCCCGAGGGGTGGCATCTCGATCGTATATACAGACGGAATGAATTCAAGGAACGAACGGATCGCGGCACGCCAGACCACGCTAGTGCCACGCCACGGCTAGCTATTCGCAACAAGGTATGTTCTCGTAGCTGAACGTGACTGTTCGCGCGATCTACTATGCACCTACACGCGAGTTCCCCGTGGCGGTGAGTGCAGTGGCAGGCTCTCGAGAGCAACCGACCGGGCAACCGGACAACCAAGAAAGCAAATGGGCGAGACACCGCGTGTGCCCCTATGTACATGTGTACGTACAGTATGTAGTGTGTTTGGTGTGCTGCGGTTGGGGCGCGATAAAGGCCGGGAGAACGAGAAAGCCACCAGCGCGTGTTGTGTGCGCCGATGTCGGTTCAGTGTTGGCCAATCGCGCGTTGCGCGCTCGCTTTCCTGCCGTTCGGTGAGCTGCTCCCGCGCGCGTAGAATAAGGAGAAGCGAGAAGGAAAGATCAGCGAGATACACGCGGCAAGAGGAGGTGGTGCTGCTGTGGTGGAAGGGGGGTGGAGGGAACGGGGAATGTTGCAAGCCAGAAAAGCATATTGGTTCATCGGCTGGGGAGATTTTGAAATGCTGGTATAATTAGGAAACGCGTGGTTCGTTCCACCTCCCAAGAAACTCGTCGACGTCCAGACGTCTCCCTGCGCACGATTGCATTAGAGCCGTATGCTCGCGCAGCGTATATCCGTTAACCCTAGACGCAGGATATTTTCTGGAACTTCGGTACTGAGCGTCGTCTAGTGGACTTCTCTTGACGCGTAGGTTGTTTTATTAGGGGCGGGGTTCTTTATATAAGTGGGTTTCAGATATACGAGGGTAGAATGTTCTTTTGACGGATTCGTCAACACACCGAAAGCGTCTATCTTGGGAACTTTGTTAATCTGCAGTTCTTCATTGTGCTTTCGAATACCTTTCTAATCCTTTTCAACCTTCTATTATATAGAATTCTTATTTTTCTTTTTAGCAGCTCAAATACGAGACAGTGTATCGTAACTCGCCAATGAAACATGAAAGTGAGATTTTTTTTTTTAATTTAATTATGAATAGGTTTAAAAGATGTAATACACTTCTGAAGTGTTTGAATCGAGTAAATCGATTAAATAAACTGAATTCTTCATAGAAGGTTAAGTAAACTATACATTTATAGAAATATTCGTCACTTTCTAAGTCGAAATATTTAAAAATAGTAAATGATATAATAATGCACTTGAAAAAGTATCGAAAGGGTGTATATCCGTTTATTGAGCTTAACGAGTTTTCAAGGTGAACGCTTCCGCTTAAAGAAATGGATCTGCGAGGAGTGTCGTTAAAAATGCATTTCCGATAGATATGCATCGGTTTCGTGTCAGCCGTTTTGTTACAAATATAATTACGATGGTGTGGTGCGCAATACCGATACGTAACTATCCTTGTATCTTGCTGCAATCGCGCTTATGCAAATACCCTTGTGTTTCTTCTGGCCACAGATTTGCATCAGCTTTTTTCCTTTTCTCGTGTCTTCTTCGATGAAAATTGTCATTGTTACTAAAATTACCAACAGTTAGCAATTATATAATTAAATTTAAAAACTGTTTATTCGTATTTTTTACGGCAAGGTATGAACAAACTTTTGGAGTATGCAGCGTTAATAATTATAAATTATTTTTATCAAAAATCCAGATTTTGACTGTTTAATTGTTTCGGTAGTTGAAAACATTTTAAAACGCGTGTAAAACACTAAATTGCTCATTTTTATAGAAGTAAGCATTTTTTCTCGACAAAATTTTTAGCTGCATCGTGTCATCTATACTTTTCTCTTTTTTTTTTTTTTTCACGGAAAAAACGGTCTTTATTCGTTTCCCTTCTCGTGCTGGCGGCGATGCCCATCTTTAAATATTACTTAATATCATATTCGCAAAACAGCAGAAGGTTGCATTTTCCTTGTTCCATTTGGCCCACGTTTATCGATGCCGTCACGATCCACATAGGATTTAAAACACCGACGATTCACATGTTCGAAATCAATTCTGTTCTTCTTGAAGTACATACATATATGTTGTTTAAGCAACAAAATTTAAAAGGCATATGTTTCCCTTTTTTTTTTTATCAAGAAAACAAAATATATTTCCGAAAGTTGGTTAACGTCATTCGTAAATATAGCTAGGTATCATTAGGAATGGTTCAAAGACTCCAATCTTGAAAAGGTTATAATTAAATGGTCTTAAAGATCATTTCTTTTCATAGAATTTTCACACGATGAACATACGCCTATTTTTACCAGAACAGATTTTCTTAAAATATTAGGGAAAAATATTTACTCGTGGTTCCCTCAAAAAATTACTAAAAAATTTCGATAAATTCACCGTTATAAACTTCGACGATTTTTATAAAAATTTACGAACCAAATTATAACCAATCCCATAATTCCTGTAATCAATCCTCCTTTCCATAGAAATCCGCCAATGCGTTATGTTATTCTTACTAAATTACTAGCTAGTAATATAGTTAATTTAGTTACTATTAATTGTAGTTAATTAATTACAAACTAGATTATATTCACACTTTTTACTTTTGGCAAGACTCGACGGCCTGTACGTGTTCCTTTTTCAACGTTT